CACCTTCCTATCCTTCAAAATCAGCTCAAAAATATATGTCTGGGTGGAGAAAGTGGAGGGAAGCAGGAGCTTGTCATCTTCCTCCTAAAAAGTTTAATATTTTAATTTTAATGAAATCATTTTAAACAAAAATAGCCCCAACTTCACCAGCATTACACAAACCGTGACAGGGATAAAACATTCTGCCATAGGTTCATAATAGGAAGGTTAAGTCAACCAATGGGAGATTCTGGTGTAAAAAACACCTAATACCAACAGCCCTTCCCTTTGCCCTAGATCCAGAAGGGAGAGTGAGTCAGATTTCTGTTTATGATAATGTCAGGGTGGATCATATGGACCAACCTGTCAGTTGAAAGCATTAAAAATTGATGGCTAGACTTACAATCCAGAGAGGGTGGCATTGACCCATTGTTCAGTGTTTCCCGCCTCTATTCGCAACTGTAAATCCCGTAAATGGTGCAAGACACAACTAAGGAGAATTCTGGAAGGTGGTAAGAAGAAGGCAAGCAGATTTAGGACTCCAGGACCGGAGGAACAATACAGAGGCAGGGCATCTTGGTTCCCCCATTCAACAGAGTAAAGACACTCACACTCACTGTTTCTCAATTCTGGACCAAGAAGCAGAAGGCAGCCAGGTAGGGTCATTTTTCTGGATGGAAGGAGAAGCTCTCTGACAATATCAGGTGAGTTCAACACCACTGGCAAGGGGAATTGATTGGAACCAGAAACAAGTATCCAGGAAGCGCTTACCTTTCCCATCAGGCCTGAGACTATCGTCTCCTGCCCAGAGGAACTGGGGCAGGTGGACAGAATGGGAGAATGGGATCCAGGCATAGAGTCTGATGTTCCTGACCCTGACACTCAGTTTTCTCCTTTGTCAAAAGTGAAAACTAGACTCCTCACATTCAGAATATTTTTGTTGTTTTTTATTGTGAGGCTGGCATGAAGCATGCTATTTAAAGGAGCAGCACAGAGGCCAGTAAACAGAAAACCTCAGCAATATTATCCTCTTGCCCCTGTGCCTCAGCCAGGTCCAGCAGACAGACATTATCCACAGAAGGGACGATGCCTGAGAGTGAACAGGAGAGGTGGGGGAAGGAGCAGAGAGAGGAGACCAGCACCACCCACTTATGACTGTCTGCTCCTCCCCTAGCTCCATTCATCCCCAAGTCTTTGCCCTCTTGGCCCCAAACTGGGACCTTAAGCCTCAGCTCAGACTCTTCCGCAGAGCTGAGAGGTACCTGAGCTCCAGGCAGGACCCTGTTTCAGCACCATGGACAGCACCAGCTTTTCCCAGCCTGGTTCTCCCCAGGGGTCACAGTGCCTCCTGGTGGATGGAGCCCTCTGGGCGGCCAACCATTAGCCAGCCATCAATGCGGAGTGGGAGGAACCTGGGGAAGGTTCTGGTGACAGCCTAGGTCAATGATGCTGGTCAGGGGTACCCAGGACCTTCCAGGGTGTGCTGCCATCTTCAGATTTGTGTTCTTCATCCCCTACAGGAGTTAACTAGGGATTGAGTGCTGTCCTGAGGTATGGCGGTTTATCCAGGGGTGTCCCCAGTAATTAGATGAAATAACAAAACCAGTCTCAGGGCCTAATTGACAAGAAAGCATTAATCACTCAAAAAGGGGGTCACTACAGTATTAGAGAAATAAACGTTTTTTTAAATTTTGTAGCTGTCCCCATACCCAACCGGAACAACAGCAGGAATGCTCTCTCTCTTTCTCCATCTGAGCTGATTTTCACTCCTTCAGTCTGGGACAGGTTTTTCCTCTCTCTGGGTTTTCTCACATTTTTGTATGGAGTCTTCTGGTGTCTGGCTAGGTGGTCTCAGCCACTCCAGGGCACCCACCCCAACTCTGTCCAGACACTTCCTGCAGTTACTAGCACAGGCTGTCCTGAGCCCTAGAGTTGTGAAGAGGCAGGAAGTCTGCGTACTGATAGGGCTTGAAAGAGGAACTTAACGCCCTCCCAACACTCCCTTACCTATGCCCCTCTGTGGGTCCTCACCCTACTCAGGAGTGCACACGGGGGGCTGTCTTCCTCCTCCCCATGGCCTCTCCAGTGTCTTCTACATCAGGGTGCACCCAAGGTAACCCGTCATCTGAGTACCCCAAACACCAGAAGAGGGTTCATCTGCTGGTCACACCCAAAGCTGGCATTCTGTGGGACTATGCCCTCATTCCTGTCTTTCCTAGCAGAGTTGGTGCTAGAAAAGGAAGGATGAGAAAACCTACAGCTCCTTTGCCCCTCGGATCAGGGGAAGGTCCTGGATATGGATGCCTGAAAGGAAGGGCCAGAAATCGGGGTACTATGACCATTGTCTCCCAAACCCGTCTCCCCACCCCCAACCCACCTCTGCAATTGAAGGAATCACCCTGCCGAGTTGACCTTGCCCCTACACAGAAAAACAAACAAGCAAACATGTTCACCTCTCACTTCTGGTCTCCCAAGCTATACCCGATGCTTGCGAGTGAGTAGATGCAGGGGAAGGAAAGACATATATATGTGATTTTCTTTACCAAAATTAAAGCAATGTTTCAATCAAGATTCTGCTACGTAGGTATTTACCTGTATGTAGACTTGGGAAGCCTGTCATTTGGCACATATCCATCACCCACTATGTAATTTATCATCACTGTGCGCAAAGCAAGTGAACAGTGCTTGTGAGAGACACACGTTCTTGCCTCCAAGGACTCACTTTCTACAGTGGGAACTTAAATACACAGTTAAGAAAACTCATCTTCTCACCTGCTATCTGCCCACCTCCAATCTGTTCTCCACAGGGAAGCCAGAGTGAAGTCTAAAAACCCAACACTGTCTCTTTTCTACTTCTAACCCTCAGTGGCTCCCAATTACCCAAACGGAAATAGCCAAAATCCTTTAAGATGAGCCCAGGGTGTTGCATGGTCCATCTTATTTGGCCCAGGGGGACCTGTTTCTAATGCCTAGAACACACCACAAACCAAAAAGCCAACACATGCATAGAGGCACACAAAACTATTTTCATTTATTCTATAAAAGAATAATTTTTTAAAAATGTAAAACCATGACTCTAGTATAAATATAAAATGACACATGTTAAAGATTTTTTTATTGTGGTAAAAAAATACACAATATGAGATCTATCCACTTAACCAATTATTAAATGTACAGTGTTGTTAACTACAGGCACTATGTTGTAGAGCAGATTTCTAGAATTTTTCCTCTTATGTGACTGGAAATTTACACCCATTGAACAGCAACTCTCCATTTTACTTAATGCATTAATGGAGAACCTAATTCATTAATGGAGAACTTTTAGAATTCACTCTGGCTTTGTGGAGAATAGATTTGAGGTGGGCAGAGAGCAGATGAGAAGATTAGTTTCCTTAATTGTGTATTTAAGTTCCCACTACAAGCAGAAATAGAAGAAGCACAAATTATATGAAGTAAAGGAATGTAGAAGCAAATTTGTGAATGCAAGTGAAACTGTCTACATGGGGGGATTCCAGGGGCCCCCCAGTGGACAGAATGCGCATGTCTATGGACGTGAACTATTTGCATTGCTATTGTTAATCTACAAATTATAACATTGTAAAATAGTTCAAACGCAATAAAATGTTAGAATCAGATAACTCCGGAAGGGTGTGCTCTACAGAATTCATAGTTTTCCATTGGAGAAAGCCAATCATCTCATCTTGCTTATTCTAAATTTCCTTACTATTCTTGAAGCAAATATTTATCGATCACTTAATGTATGCCAAGCATTTTTCTAGGCAGAGTGGATTCAGCATTAAATGGAAGGGATACAAGCTCCTTTGTGAAGCTTCCATTTTAATGACAGGAGAGATAGGAAAGAATAATTAAGTAGATTTTATATTATATTGACTGATGATATGGGATTTGGAGAAAAAAGAAACAGGAAAGATATATAGGGAATATGGGATGGATTATCCTCTTTAATATGTTATCCAAGGACATTATCATTGAGAAACTGACATTTGAGTGTGCACATACATGCACACACACAATAGGCACTTAGACACACACACACACAGCAGCTCAGACATGCACACAGAGAAAAACTACAGACAAACATATAAACAAACATAGAAACTGATACACACTTCAAATATACAGAGACACACAGACGCCACAGACATGCACACAGAAACCACAACCACAAACATAAAAACATGCACACATACACCAAAGAAACACACACACACCACAGACACACACGTAGAGGCTAGAGACACAAACACACAAGCATATACACAGACACACATGCCATGGACACACTCAAACCACAGACACACAAATGAGGCATCAGCCGTTGGCTCCCTGGGAAGACTGGGACCCTGGTTCTCAGGCCAACTAGACCCAACATCCCAGCAGGAGACAAGGTCAGGGGTACCCTGTGACTCTGGGCCACTTTCTGTTATTTGGGAGACCTTTTCATTCTCAGAACCCACCTCCCCTGCCCACTGGCATCACCATCCACCTGTCTCTGTTGCCCACAGTCCAGCAGACCGTGCAGCATCACCACCCTGGTTGCTGGCCCGTGTCTGGAGCAGCAGCCATGTCCATATTCAGAGTGACCACCAGGGAATGGTCAGGGAACGTGAGTCTCTCGGCCTTTGGAAAGACTGAGACATGAAGGCGGGACAGGTGAGAAGGGAAGTGGACACACCTGAGAGGAGTGGGGAGCAAAGAAGCAGAGGGCAAAGAAGAGTGGGCTCTGGGGTCACAGCCAGTGTGGGGGGCCCAGCTGCCAAGTGGCTTCTGTCCCTGGAGCTCCCCCTTGGTCCTGCTGTGAGGAGCCCATAGGGGTGTGAGTGGAGTTCATGGGGCATGCTGGGAGCCCCACAGAAGTGTCTGGAAAGTTCCCATGCTCCTGGGCTAGTTACAGCCACGATGGGACATCCCTTGGGATACTCCAGCTCCTGAACAGATCTTATGCTCCCTGAGGGAGCTCCTGAGATTTCTTCCTGGAAACCTGTATGTTGATGAAGAGACCTGCCCAGGAGGGAACCAGGGTCCCCTGCATGGGACAGCGAGGAGCAATGTTAGCTGCAGAGCTCATCGGGTGGCTCAGTTACCATCCCCTTCCCTAGAAGAGAAGGAGGAGGAAGAGGAGGAGGAGGAGGAGATGTGTTGGAGGAGTTCAGACTCAGATTTCCTTGGACCCTGGAGCTGAGAGGCTGAAGAACTGACTGGGGCAAAGACACTGGCCGGGGGCTGCAGGTGGAGCCGCAGGGGCTCCCTGTCTGCTCACACTCGCGTCCTTGGCTCTGGGCCTGCTTTCTGGAGGGTGAACTTACCTCCTAGACAACTTTGCTCACCTTCCAGCTCCCAGAGCACCTGTCCCATCCTTCAGCCACATCCTCACTCCCTCCTCGGGCTCCCACAGTTCCATACTCTGCTGGGTCATCCCTGACCACACCAGGCCCTGAATGTATATCTGCTGCCACCTCCTGGCCCCACTAGTGCTCGTCCAGGGTCAGCCTTCCCTCAGCTCAGCCCCGCAGAACGCTCGACTCAACAGGTGGCTGACGGGTGCCCAGGGTGCAGGAGCAGTGACAGGCTCAGCCAGAAGAGGGACCAGCCCCAGCACAGGCCCGTGGAGCCAGTCCTGTCCTGGGAAGTGTGGCCGGGGTGAAGTAAGAGCCCTGCAGAGTTCAGAGCTGGTGCCCGGAGAAGCAGCAGAGGTTTCCTTGGTTACCAAACCTTTCCCTTCCCTTTTCTCCTCCCCTCCTCAGCGCGGTCCCATCCTGCAGACGGGCCACTGGCCCATGTGTGGACTGTGTCCGTTGTGGACCAGACCAGGGTGCACTTTACTTGCACAAACACATTGAATCTTCTTGGGGACTCCATATAGTCCTTTGCTCAGGCTGCTGTAACAGAATACCACTGACGGGGTGGCGTAAATAACAGAAATTCATTTTCCCACCGTTCCAGAGGCTGGAAATCTGACATCAAGGTGCTGGCAGGGTTGGGTCCTTCTGAGGCCTCTTTCCTTGGCTTGCAGATGGTCGCCTTCTCCTCCCTATGTCTTCACTTGGTCTTCCCTTTATGTCCTAATTTCCTCTTCTTATTAAGACACCAGTCCTATTGGATTAGGGCCCACTGTAATGACTTCATTCAACTTAATTACCTCCTTAAGGGCCCTACCTCCAAGGACAGTCACCTTCAGAGGTACAAGGGGTTAGAGCTTCAACATATGAAACTCGAGGGTGACACAATTCAGCCCATAACACCCCATGTGCATAGGCACCCGACTACGCACAGAGTTGGTAAGCCCCTTCCCAAGGCAGCACAGCAAGCAATAAAGAGACAGACTCGAGCCCAGGGCCATCTGGCTGTAAAGCCCATGCCTCTGACGACCTCATTGGAGGCCTTAAATGAGGAAGCCCCAGAGCGGTGCTTCTTGCTGAGGGTGGGACTCAAACTGACCACTGAGGAATGGGCAGGGCCGGACCCTTGACCTGCAGGGTGGCCATACCTGCGTCTGCAGAAAACGCCCAGCTCCATCCTCGTATTAGAGAATCTAATTAGAGATTCTCTAATTAGAGATTCTCCCTCATACGAGGGCTGAGCTTCGGGATCCTTCCAGATGACAGATGAGGAAACTGAGGCTTGGAGGTGAGAAAGGCCAAGCCCCTGATTCCAAAGTCAAGGCTTTCCCCCAACATCACACTGTGCTGTGGTCTTGCTCCAAATACCCAGCTCTCAGGTCTGGCCTGTGCAGTCAGCACCTGGGATGCCTGTAGCAGGGGCTGTGAGCAGGTCAGGAAGCCCCAGGACCACTCATGGGGGTCACCTTGTGACCCTTTTGGACTCCTGATCCCATCCAGTCTGCCATTTCTACCTGAGAGCTCATCTTCTGGCTGCACAGGGCAATTGGGTTCCCACAAGCCCATGACTGTTCTTCCACCATCACACACTGGCCCAACAGGAGCTGGAAGGGCCTTGGGTTTGTCTGCCTCCTCAGGTGTTAGAGAAGTTCTCAAGGACAGAGACAGAGTCTGTCCCATTGTCCCCTGTGACTCCACTCCCCAGAAAGGAGTAGATGCTCAAGATGACGTTGTCATGTTCATTCATTAATCACCACCTCCCTCACCTGGAGGGGGGGGG